GGCAGCACGTTCCATCTCAGACGCGCGTTTGGTCCACCAGATCTCGCGGTCTTTGCGTAGGCTTACGTTGAGGTTACGACTCGTTGCTCGTCGTATTTCATTATGCTCGCTGTCGGTCGGGATTGATCGGCGTGCGTCGAGAAGCCGTAGAGATTCCGCAGAAATCTAGGGTGTCACGGCACGACGTGTCAGATCACAACTAACTAAGCCAGCAGAATGCACAGCATTCTTGATAAGCGACCAGTGCTGGTTAACGTCATCGAGTGGGGTTGATTCTAGCTTTACAGCTAGCGCGTTCTGAAAGACAGTTAGGCGTGCTGGTTCAGACAATTGGTCATAGTCTAACCGTCTGTGTCAAGCGTTTGGAACGCCCACCGAAGCACATGGACAGCTTGGCGCAAACCAACGCGTGGTCGGATTCGAGGGGGTGCTCCAGTACGATCGACGGGCGGCGGTGAAGCGGCTCGAACCCGGGACGTCTGGGTCATAAGTTAGTGACCTAACCACTTGGCCACTACCGCCCACGGTGACAGCAGTGAAAACAACCGAAACCGCTTGACCACCATCACCATCACGTGAATTAGTAGGATCATATACTTCCTAACTGATGGTAGTTCAACACTTCGCAAATTCACTGAGTGCATTGATTGTACGATTGCCGGGAGAGGGGGACACGAATAATCTAACACTATCTGTGATCCATATGCGTTTCGGAATTGGCTTAAAACCAGGATTTGGACAAATTGCTATGAACTAACAACTCAGTAGGGAGTGCAAAGCACTAGCACTGGTTCTTCTGTTTTATCAGTAACACCTCTAACTCTAGTGCCCAGAGATTAATCACCTCGTCTTACAAACTATCCAGTTCCAACCGTGTCCGGTTGATGAATGAAAAACTTTGACGTATATTTTAGTCTGTCATAAAGAAAAATATCTCACATTTAATCGAATCTCCGGCGATTTTAGTTTCCATCTCTGGAGAAGCCGTCAAAACAAGTTCTGAAAACACTCAACACATCCAACTGAGTTAAGCTTCATAAAGCCTGTTTAAACCGACCAGATCAGGGAGCGCACAGAAAAGAATGACATATTTTCTCCAAAATATTTATGAAGGGGACAAGAGAAAAACAGTGACCATAAGAAATGGAAAGAATCGGGGTTTCGAATGAGGTAAGAGAGATTGCCTATTATACATTATCATCATGCCCATCATTTGCCAAATACGTGCGTGCAAAGGTTAGTCAAACACCACGTAGTTCTGTGCACGTGCGCGCGAGCGAGAGACAAACAGTCATGATTGGTCACTCTTTGACTCCCCACACCTAACCCCATCCAGGAGGTCAAAGGGGACAGAGAGAGCGAATCCGAACCGACCGATCAGAACGGTAGATTCAATGGATGAGGTTTCATAAATTGGTCTAACACCTCGTCTGTCACCAGTTTCCGGCGTTTCTGATGTTCCGTGACCAACTGAACGAGTACATCGATCAAGATTTTCTTCAATTCACCAGTGAGTAATTTCCCACTTGAATAGTCCTGAACAAGAGGTGGGGGCAAAAGAGCGAAGAAGTGGTCATCCATGTGGTTTACATACATCACAAAACAATGATATGTACAGCGTATCTCGGCAAGTTTATCCAGACAGATAAAGCGAAAAATAATGAACCAAACTTCACAAAAAAGATAAATAAAAATCCACCTTTGAAAATAAAAAACAGGAGAATATAATCTGCCAAAAGGGAAAGTGATTAACAGGTAACCGTACACCGCCCAAAAGTTTAAATCTCCCCGGATATCGGATTCTCGCCAACCTATTTGCAGTTCATCACGGCCTCCTTTACCTGTATAACAAATCGGGATAAATATATCTACCTACTCATTTACACCATCTATTGCCATGAAATGCGGAATGACGAGTGTCGTAACCACCCGGACGTTCTCAAGTCAAAAGGTTATAATCTTGTTCAGATTCCGACAAAGAGGACAAACTGGTGGAATTTCTCTTGCCCCATCTTCCGACAAATTTCTTAGTGAACTGGTTGGCGTAGTGACCACAACCAATGTAAACTTAATTGGATCAGTATGATGAGGATGCTCATGATGCACTACAGCACCACAACACTCCGGACGTGTGCGCGTTTGTGAGCCAAATGAGAACCGATGAAAATAGAGCACCCTTCGAAATACCCGAATCCACTTACAACCCATCATATCCGTGAAACTGGTGAAAGTTTAAAAAACCGGTAATGGTATCACGGAAAAAGAAACCGAATTTGAGAAGAAGCGTGACTAAACCCACTTAGATCGGTCTCAGCACATTAGGAATAAAATACAATCCGGTTATCAGTGCGAAAGCAAGTATGTCACATTGAACTCCGAGAAAAACATCGACCTGCTGTGTTCGGGGGAGGGGGGAGAGAGAGAGTAACACGCTTCTCTAATCATGCTGCTCCGGCGTCAATCAGCGCGTTCACTTACTTGTCGAATTTGTTCTAGTCGGGAGTCATCATCCAGAAAGAATCGTAAATATTGAAAAGATACGTCTACTTCACAGTCACCACCCTTCGCCCGATGCTCCTCAATCGTGTCCCCACCTCCCGAAAATGCGTACTTGTTAATCTGGAAGGTCAGAAACAAGGCAGAACAATTAACGTAACCAAACTCCGTACATTCGACTCGAAAAAACATCAGTGTTTTGGGAAATTAAGTGGTAGCCGTCGTACATTACAAGTACAGTCTCTTAAACTGGCTAATCCAAACGTTCGGTTTGAATCCGACGCTGATGACCAGAAAGAAACGCCACTTTTGGGAACAGGAAACCACAATATAACACGATATGCCAATAAACGGCTTCGGCCGGTAGCCATAATTTCCAGTAATAAATGAATAGTAGTTACAAGTTAGGAGAGCCTGCTGAACCTAGTCAATTGCTTGATTACTCACACATCTTACTGAATTCGAATTTACCCTGGGAAATAAACTAGCTATTCAAAAGCTACGAACCGGAAAAGAAAAGTAGAAGAAATGAATCCCATCACAGAAACCAGGATCGACTGTTTGGGTATGGTAGCCAACAACCAAATCCGTCGTACTTGAGGTGGGGTTAACCACATAATAAGGCTTCATAATAGATGATGCATACCACTGAACCGGATGACAGCGTGGTCACCGAGAGTTGACAATGGTGCTGGCAGCGCCCAAACTTCAGACATGCAGTGAGATCGAAAGAACGCACTACCAGTCTAATGAGAGTTCAAATCAAGAGACAGCTCACGCGCATCGGATGGCACGTGACTGGTCGGCTTTGCTATCGACTTCATTAGTATTGACAGACGCAGTGTTTGACTGATCTGTGCTTCATTTTTTGATCCTGCGAATTGTGTTGATCTGATTACAGTCAGCCTGTAGTGGCTTCAGACCGACGGTGTAATATGCTCGACAGTTGTCACCACTTTTAGTCGGGCTGTCCCACAAGTATGTTTTCGCACGGTTGCAGACATTGGTTGCTTGGAACAGTCGCTCGTGCATTCCTCTCCTTTGTAGCATAGATTCCGCCAGGATCGTCGATATCCTGATGCTGTTTCTTCAACTAAGTCTTCAATCTTTGTTTAGGTCACTGCCACCTCCGGTGGAGTAACTCCACTCTGAACGGTGCGCGGGTTCAGTGCTACACCTTCACTTGCTAAGCCTTTCCCTTTCAGATACTCTCAAGCGTAGCCAGGCTAAACTTTTAGTGATTTTAAGGGAACAATATATTTGTTGTTCCTGAAGTCTGCTGCGTTATCGAGAATCACGGGATATTAGAGACTGGACCGTTCCCACTGGAGGTAAGGTAGCATCTCTAAAAGCCCACTCCACTTGTGTTCTTCCATAACTATATATATATATATATTTACCACCGGCTTGAAAACAAGCATGGTGCCAACGCAACAACAATGGTCGTACAACTATGGTCGTACAAAAACTAGCAGGATACATGGAACGTACTTTGTTTTTGATCTGTTTCGGTGTATCAGTCAGATAGATGGATGTGTTTGCATTGCTCGCGCTCATTTTGGTCTGACTGCCCTGCAGAGCCGGAAAGAACACACTGTATAACATGGTCGGTTTGGGCAAACCCATCCGCGGAGCCACATCACGAGTCATACGGAAGTACGGATCCTGATCGATGGCACACGGGATCAAACAGCCTATGTCGGTTGTGCGGAGGTGACCGAAAATTTGAGGAAATGCCTGGGCGAAACAGGGTGCCGCTTGGATGGCCGGAAACGCAATTTTTCCGATAGAATCGCTCTCAGTGAATCCGAAAATACCCCGGACTTGATTGAATGTGATCATGCGTTGGATTTGGCAGACGGTTCGGTAAAATGCCGGAGATTCACTGAAAATAAAAAGAGCACAGATTACGGGTCTAGTGTATGTGTATATACGGGAACAGATCTGTTCTTGATAAGTTGAACAGGATTCAACCATTATATGTATTTGTATAAACTTGTGTACATCATCGTTGTGCCTGATACTCCAGCTACGTCAATGGTGCACCAAGAACGAAGGAATTTCATACTAGATGATTGATTTTCCCCCGAGAAGATATATAGCATATCTGGTAGTGTTTCCGCGCCAGGTAGGAAAATCTAACGTAAACGCAATGAAGGTGTGATCCGAGATTGGGTCAGAAAGAAACATATGGATGAGATAAGCTGGTATTAAACCGGTCAACTGGGGATGGATGGAACCTTCAAACCAGAGGTTCGGTAAGCCCCGTAAAGACAACGCGTCTAGTGGTCCTTTCAGCGGACTAACCTAAGAATCATTCATTTCATTCCATTGATTTACTTGATCGTCTCTTCTGGTAGCAACGGCATAGTCTCAAATACACAATCCCTCATCCCTTGATATGAACTTCCACTTGACCAAAATAAGTGGTGACCTAGCGATCCACTGTTTACCAGGGATCAAATTAGCAAATTAGCAAAAACAGATTCAGTATACACAGTCACTATTCTCGTATACATTCGTCAACCCGCTCTGGTCTATCTTTTAGTTGCCTATTTGTTCGATGAATAAACAAATGAGGAAACTGAAAATGTGAAACAAAACTACACAATGCGACGAACGCGAACAACGTTTTTCCACGTGAGAGAGATAGAGAGGGAGTGGAAGGGGACTGAATTCCGACGATCCTCTAATTCGGTCGATTGGAAATTCCAACTGTCGCGAAGGCTCGAGCTCATACTATGCAAGACAGTCTACGCGGGAAACGGAAACCGGGACATATCAAACTGAATAAGGATTGAAAACCGCAACACATTTTGCAGTACTGTATGATGACCTGGATGCTATATGCACACCTTGATACCTGATTATTCAAGTCTGGGAACGCGCAAACGATTCTGCCCAGTATATGAATTCCATTTCACAAACGGAATGGTGAAAAAATTAGTAAATAAATTGTTTTTTTGAAAATAAATCTATGTGCTGAACTTAATCAAAAACTGAAAATAATAACAGCGAGATAAAAAACCATAAGACTAACCCCATGTATTGAAAATCACTAAATATGAACGTTTTATCCGGGTCGAATCCAAGAGCAATAATATCTTTGGCATTCTCCCGAGTCATTTTTTGAACCTCATCCACAGAAAGATCTTTCCACAGGAATTTTTCATCATCTGTCAATTGAATCACCAAAGGCACCTGAAAGACATCCTGAAGCCACCTGGGGGACAAAACGGGAGTCACAACAGTTTGTCATTGTCTCACTTGGTGAAAATGAAAGGAATGATATGTCCCAAGTGCAAAGCTAACGATGACGGTCCACGACCAGTGTACATGAAGAAAGGTTTTCTATCTTCAATTTTCTTGATAATAAACTCCAACTCCCTAAGGCAGATGAATGAATTTATCATTGTTCGCTTACCTGTGAGAGAAAAATATACCTCTACGCAGAAGATGATGCACTGGCTGATTACAAACTTTCTCAAAACGCTTCAGCAATTCATCGGAAATTTTTGAACAACCGAAGCGATCAATCAGCTTGTTGTAATCTACCCCACGTGAACTGGTAGTGGCCACTTCCCATGGAGTCACAATATCCTCCGTCGAATAGGTGTGAAGAGCAGAACTCAGGGCGCTAACATCAATGGAATTGGTCATATCGCATTACCTGTGGATAGTAGAATGAAAATAGCCAATTATTGGTGCTTAATTTTGGAACAGTGATGAGACGAGAGCTGATATTGGGTGTATATTGTTGTCGACAAACTAGTGCAAATCCTTTTTAGAGTTTCAGTCACGTTTCTCCAGATTTTGCAACCATCATTCATGTTGTCAACAGGCAATCAACCATATCAACGGATGAATTGATAAACGTTTAGCTTTCCATCACGCTGGCGCGGCTCGCCCAATCTCGCTTTCTACCACCGCTTCATGGAGGCTAGGAACAACTGCTGAACTACATAGAGAACCAGCAAACGCCTCGCCCGCTGCAAAGTTCAACACTTGATCTCGTCCTTTGACAGTAACTGAACATTTTGGTTTCTTACCAAAGCAGTTTGTTCAATTTCTGCCCCAACAATTTCCTTCCTTTCTCTGACTGCTCTAATGATCCGGTATGTAAACTGCTCGAGAAATCTGGTTCGCCTCCAAATTCACCTCAACGAATTATCCAGCTCCTCCGAGTTCATTTCCCACCGGTACCACTTTCCCAGCTTGGGTCAGAGCTAGGAAGATTCGCCAAGCACTGCGCTCTCTGAATGTGTGCAAGCCATTCGATTGGGTTGATATACCATCCATCTTCCTCAAATGTGTGTTCCCAATTTAGCTCCCATTTTACTTCATTTTTTCAGTCTTTCCCACTAACTATATTTTACCGACACCTTGAAAACGTGCCATGAACTTTCTAATTCCCAGATGTAATGATATTTCTAGTCCGAAAAACTGCCATCCAAATCACATCACCTCTTTTGTATTGAAAATATCTCATTCAATCATTTCTTACCAACTGTGTGAGTTCCTCGAACATGAGGGATAACCAAGAGACGACCAATAAGGCTTCCCACCATGCCGTTGTACCGAGGACCGGATGGCTCTCGTCCCACAATCCTGGTCGGTTGCTCTCGACATCCGGTTGTCTGTGAAGTCATCATCATCATCATCATCGTATAGCACAGTATAGTAAAGCGAACTTTACTGATCTGTCCGCAAAGAGTCGGGTATATGCTCTAGCTTTCGCTTTTCGCGATGTGATCTCATTCCCAACAACAACACTAGCTGCGATCAAGCTCCCGATGTACTTAAAGCTCTCAACCACTCTCAGCTGATCATCACATAGGGTGAGTGTGGACACAGGCTCCGATCAATTTTGTACAATCACTTTGCACCACACAAGTGCAAAGCGTATATCAGACCTGAATACCTCTATCGCCAAGTGGTTCGAAGCAAGTTGAACTGCCTGTACATTGTCACTCAGCAGAGCCATATCATTGGATATTGGAAGTCAAGAAATCTGTTCCTTGAGATGAGTTCAACTCCGTCGTTTGCCAGACCGGAAAAAGCATTCTGTAGAACCTCCGCTATGGCAAAGTTGAAGAAGAATGGGAATATGGGGCAGATTTGCCGTAATCCAATCAAAACGGTAAACGGTGATAAAAGCTAGCCATAAACCCTAACCCGACCTGAGGTATGACGATACACCTCTTTGAAAATAGACATACTTCTCAGGTACTCCATTGCTCAACAACCAATTCTATGGTGCGATCCTATTGATAGAGTCAAAGGCTGAGCAGAAATTGTTAGTCTCGGGTAAGCATGGTGCTGTAGAAACCGTCTGATGGTGAAGATTAAATTGATACATCCGCGAAACCCAGTCTGCTCTCTACGCACATTATACAATCCTTGAAGAATGACGGACGCAGATAGCTTCAACGCTATTGGGATCCGGCCTATACCAGTATGGTTGACGCAGTCACTGTACAGGCCCCTTTTTAAGTATGGGGACGACAATCGATTCCCTTTAGTCTTACAAACTACACATAACAGAGACCCCAGAACGTGGATTTGTTGAGATAGACCATCGGATGTGAGTCGGACTTTTTATTACACATCAGTGTGTGATGAACAGCAGACGGGCAGACCCCATAGTCATATAGGCCTGCTATTCAGTAATGGTAACCGACAGCCTGATCCCCGAGACTTGGAGTGGCAAACCACACAAGGTCCCGTAAGGTCAGGTGTGGTATAGACTAGCTGCAACAGAAGCTAACCGGGGTGAGTAGCTAAACTGTGCCTCAAAGTGCACCTCTCAGCGTGCAAGAAATCGCTGTCGATTATGAAAGGATGAGTTATCAGTTCCACAGATTGTTTCACCCACACTCAGAGCTTTACCACCGGTGATCCAGATGAGATGAAACAGCCTATGGGAATTTCCAATGAAGTCAGCTATCGCATCGAATTCAGTTCACTAGGCTCCGTTGGTTAGGACACGTTTTGCGTATGTCCGACGGTCGCCTACCGCAGCGCGCCTTACTTGCAGTGGTTGTTGCAGACNAGACTGGAGAAAGCCACGTGGAGGCCAGCAGATGACGGGGAGACGAGGCATGAAGAAATGCACAGAGTGATTAGTTAGAGTAAGTGTATTTCACTGTCCGGGTTTGAATTCAAAAGACTCCGTAACTAGATGATTGGAGTCACTAAAAGTCACGGCAGCAAACCAACAACAGTGGTGATTTTGTTATCACATCTTAACAGACCACAATGCTTGGAATAGTAATTATGCACAGTTGGACTGTGCTATCCGTGTGTTGATTTGAG